ATTCCCCTGAAACAGTCACTTCAGGTAAGCTCACAAGCATCTCATTAAGTCCTTCCCGTGACAACTACATAGCTTAGTGGTCAATGGAGTCATTGTCCTCTCAACCCAATCCTGTCATGCCCCAAGGAACCATGGGAAATGTATCTCTTCTTGACACCAGCACCATTTTACCCAATATTTCTGAGGCCTCAACAACAGAAGGATCAGCGAGACTGTTCATCCCCATCTCCTCTAACCCCTGTCCTTAGGAGACTTCAGCCATTTTCTAGATGGTTCAGATTCCAAGGACAATCACCTTCAAATGATCTGAAAGTCTCACTTCAGTCTCTCAGGTGACTGACATCTCAAAAGTCACCAGTCTACCTCTTTTCCCTGTACTTAATGGAGACACTCCTCCTGAATCTTTTACCCACACCCTGTCTTGTTCCTCTTCCATAATTTTGTCCCTGTTCATAGTCACGAAGTTCTCCCTATACATCCTAACTCTTATTGTCATTTCACCAATGACAATATCACTACAGTGGACATTCAATTAATAGGTGGTCCTAGAGTCCTGGTATGGCACTGTGGGTTAGTGTGCCAGACTGCAAAGCCATTTGAACTACAAGGTCAGTGGCTCAAGCTCACCAGCCACTCCTTGGAGACTCTATACAGGGTCATTATGGGTCAGAATCAACTTGATGGCACTAACAACAACATTACTACTCCTTAACAAACCCACCCACACCTCGTCTTCCTCTGTGGACCTATGAAATACACTCACTTCTCATTGTCTTGTGCAACTTTTCAAAAAATATCCTCCACTACTAACCCCACAGGAGTCCTGGTGTGGTGTTGTAGGATAACCCCTTGACTGCTAAATGAAAGGTCAGTGGTTCAAACCCACTAGTCATTCCTTGGAAAACCTACACAGGTTTTCATGATGAGTTGGAACTGACTTGAAGGCACTTAACAACAACAATAACAACAGCAATTGATCCCAGAAGAAAATCAACGAAATTAAATTCAAATCCTAGAAGCACAGTTGGATCCATGCCCAGTTATCATTTTTACTTCCATTCACCTCACTGGTCAAGACCACTCTTGATTCTTCTTAAGCACCTCAATAGTCTCAGGATCTGTTTTTACTTTACAGTCTTCCGCTAACTTTGTTCTTTCTGAATCCACTCCTAATTATAGAAGAACACTCAGACAATGTCAAGTTTCTAAATTTCAAGATTTTTCATTCTGTCAATTATTACCTGCTGCTACAATCACTTGGCGCTCCACCACTGTATTCACAGATCAGACCACGTCTCTGGCTGATGTCATTACTTCCTTGACTGCCACTGCTTCCTCAGGTTTGACTATGAAGACTGAGACACCTGGTCTATGGAACTCCAGAGTGTGGTTGAGAAAGAACAGCAAATTAGTGCTACTAGGCTAGGTGTGAGGTCAAGTCTACAACAAATCCAATGGGATTGGGGGTGGGGATGACAGCCTTTCCATCTTCTCTGTCCCAGCAGAAAACTATTCATAGGGAGTGGTTTGGTTGTGACCCTGCCCTGCAACCACAGGACAGAGACGAAGGTTTCTAGCTGTCTCTTTCTGCTCCTGAATTCTTTCCAACTCTTTGACCATAAGATCCACTCCTGTCTTCTCTCCTTACATACCCAGGGATAATGACAACCTCATCAAGGACAAACAGTGGGAGAAGCACAGCAACAACACTACCAAAAACAGCCTTCCAGACCCTCACAACTTCTATTACCAGCACATCTATAGTCATCCACTCATCTCCCCCAGTCCCTATCAAGCCCGATAAAGGTGAGTGATGTCATAGAACTGGGACTTCTCCACCCTGGAACTGAGTTAGATGAGGAAGTTATGGATGTAGTAACTGGGTTGGATCCAATCCACGAAACTAGTATTGAATGTATCAATGAGGGCCTGTGTGGAAGCACAGGATTTTCAGCTTGTGGGTGTCTCCACTGCTGTATCTGGGCCATGGGAAGTCTAATTGTTAACCATATCCATTTATGAGGGTGAGGTAACTAAATGTTTAGTCTCTGTCTGCTTGCTACCAGGTTCTGCCCTCCCATGTTGTTGGTGGTCGTGGTGGAGTACCATAGAGGCAGTTCTGACTCATAGTGACTGTCAATAGGGTTTCCGAGGCTATAAATCTTTGTTACTGTTGTTGTAAAGTGCCATCGAGTTGGTTCCAACACATAGTAACCCTATATACAGTTTTTAAGGAGCAGCTAGTAAGCTTAAAACACCAATCTTGCAGTTCAAAGCAACTTTGTAGTCCAGCACATTAACCTACAGTGCCACACCAGGACTCCGGAAACAGAAAGTCTCATCTTTCTCCTGCAGAATGGTAGGTAGTTTCGAACTGCCAACCTTGAATTTAGCAACCCAACTTGTAACCATTATGCTTCTTGTCCTCCCATGTTAGAAGAATCTTATCAGAGTCGCTGGGTAGTGCAAATGTTTGCATACTCAGATACCAATCAAAAAGTTAGCTGTTCAAATCTACCTAGTGGCACCTCAGAAGAAAGATCTGGCATCCTATTTCCAAAAAAATACAACCATTGAAAACTCTGTGATGTGCAGTTATACTACGACATACATGGGATCACCATGAGTTGAAATCAACTGAATGGCAAAGGGGCTAGGGACTAGTGAGATAGTATCAAAGCTAGGGATTGAGGGTCTGCTTTGTACATGGCATTGGACTAGAGCGAGAAAGGATCAAGGTGCCATCCTTGTCCTCAAGAAGCTCACAGTTTAGCTCAAGAGATAGATCAATAAAAAGATCATTACTATAAATAATTATTAGAACCTTGACAAGTACAGTTCAAAAGACCAGGTATTAGGCACACTCAATAGCAGACACTGAGGAGAGATGAAGGTGCATTAAGGTGAAACAAAGGCTTCTCAGTAAGAGTAAACAGAATCTAGGGGAGGGGAGCAGTCTAGGCAAGGACTCAGGAGCAAAGGTATGGAAGTGGAAAATAACCCCATAGTATTGCAAGGGGTGGAGATCCCCAAAGCATTTGAGGTTGTAGGAAGTGAAGATGGGGAGTGATAAGAAGTAACGTTGATGGGAATCAAGGAGAACATTTGCATTCTAGGAAGGGTACTGTGGTGGTGTCCCTGGCTTTAACTGGGAGCAAATGGTTAAACACTTGACTTTTAGTTGAAAGGTTGGTGGTTCCAAGTCACCCAGAAGCACCTCAGAACTGTTTTTTAAAGACCTTGAAAACCCTATGAACCAGTTCTACTCTGCACACATGGGTTTGTCATGAGTCAGAATCCACTTGATGACGACTAACAGCAACACTCTAATAGCTGGTGTAGGGTGAAATTGCAGGGGGTGAGTGAAGAGGCCAGGAGAACAGTGTGAGAGTTAGTGCAGTCTACCAAGTAAGACCTAGTGAGAGTCCGAATGGGCCCTTGGCAGTGGGTATAGAGAGGCATACATAGGACAAGGTTTCTCAAACTGGACCAGCCATGGCCCAATTTGGCAAATTCTAGAAGTCTTCAAATTTATCTAGAGAAATACCATCTAAGGATACAAATATTTTACAAAAAGGGCTTTCAATAATGAATTTTCACTGCACCAGAGAATTTTTATGGCGCTGTGGGTTAATACGCCAGACTGCAAAACCATTTGAACTGCAAAGTTGGCAGTTCAAGCTCACCAGTGCTCCTCAGAAACCCTGTACAGGATTGCTATGGGTCGGAATCAACTCGACGGCACTTAACAACAAGAACCCTTAAAAGAATTGTGACTACCAGAAAAGATGTAAAATAATTGGCAATCTGACAGCAGGACCTGTTTTTCTGCACACCGGAGTTGAAGTTCTCAAAGTTGAGAGTACCAATTTTGAGAGTAAAATGAAGACATAGATGTGAGTGGTGAGGAGAAAGAGAAGTCCTGAATGGCTCCCAGTTAGAACCTGCTAGGACCACTGGGATAATCAAGGATAAGAATGGAGGAGTGGCTTAGGGGAAGCTCTCTGGAGATTTCTTTCAGCCCTAAAGAAGATCAAGTCCCCTGAAGATTTCCTATGTCTCTTTGTACTGCCCAGGTGTTTCCCTCTTTCCCTATGGGTTGAGTGTTCAAGACCAGAAGTTTGTCAAGAGGACTGTGGACTTCACCTCACTGCTCTTCAAGCCCAAGATTGGGTTCCCATTTGGTTCCTCTCTCCGGGATTCCCTCTACGTGAGTGCCACACTGCAGCCCAAGCTCTAGAGCCCTATTTCTCTCTCCTGCTCTTGTGTCTCTTGGAAAAAACTGAAGAGAGAATGGAAGCACCACTTATAGGCCCCTACTGTGTTCCTGATACTGGTTCAATTGGCTTTCCCAATCTTCTTTTATGTCAGGGTGCTAGCTGAGGATAACAGCTCACTTGTAGGCAAAAGTGTCTTTACCCAACAAAACGATCTCTATTGTTTTCACTAGGCTTTTTTTATCAGTAGCAAGCTATACTTGGAAAACAGGACTGTTTTATATTATTGCATTTCCTATAAAGATGTCCTAGATCAAGTACCTCATGTCCCCTGGGGAAGGGTGGAAACAATCCTAATGCCTCTTGCTCTCCACAAGGGGAGGCTTAGCCAGGACACACTATGATAGAAGACCAAACAGCAATGGGGTGAGGGTAGAAATCTGATGTGGCACTTCAAGATGGAACTTAGGGAATTTGCTAAGAAGGTTGACTGTGTGAAGGACTGGTCTAGAGTTGGGTGTGTGTAGGAGGGCTGTCTACCACTGAAGTAGAACAATGTATACAGTGTTGAAGGAGTTAGGACATGAATACTGTCAGGATAATGAAGAGGTTATGATACAAAGGGATTCTTCCTGAAGGCAAGAAGGTGGACTAGATGGCATCCCAGTGTTCATTGACATCTCTGACACTTGGAGGCCACATTCTGGAGCTAGCCCCAGATTAGGAAGTTTCCTCCCTGTCTCCCTCCCTAAATGCTAATGAGAAGACCCCTGTGCTCAGTTCACAGATAATGGCCAGATCATTTTCCCTGAGTCTGACAACCAGGTTTTCTCCTACCCCAACCCACCCAGTAGAGGCTTCACAGGCTGGGAGTCTGTGGCTCTGGTGGCTCCATTTTGGGATGATGCTGATTTCTCCAGCCACCGAGGAACCATATTTTACCAGGTAAGCTATTCAAAGCCTGGCATTGGAACACTGGGGAACTCCCAGAAACCAGTAAGGAATGACAAAGGGAATGTGTCAGGTGCTAATACTGCCAGAGCCTGGGCTCAGGGTGGGCAGGGTACCACCACCCTAAATGTGTGTATGAGAAGAAGGGCTGGACCTGATGGTGTAGGGGGCATGGAGGGAGCAGATATGAAATGTTAAACTGTCAGAGGCTCAGGAATATCCTCATAAGAAGACCTGCAGATGGCAGGAATGGGTTGGTAATTCAATATTTGATTGTAAAATAATGTTGTAGGGACTTTATCCTACCCAGTCTGAGTCCACTCAGGACCACCCCCTATGCTCCTGAGATTGGTCTATAAGTTCAGTGAGTGAAAGAACTAATAAAGCCATTGCCTGCAAATGTGGATTGTGTGCTTGACACGGAGAAGGCACTGTAGAGGGTCCAAAGGTGGAGATACATGTGTCTGTCCTCCAGAGGCCTCCAGAAGAACACAGGAGGTAAAGTAGTTCCCGGTATCTGAGTCCGTTTGTGGGATAAGATCCAGAGGAGTACAACACCGGCAGTGGCTGGAATTTCAGGGCCTGGACCCACCATTTCATATATTCCCAAGCTTCTTGGCAGTCAAAACTCGAACTGATTTTAAGGTCAGAAATGCTAATCGTGAAAATGCAGGACTGAAAGAGGGAAAGGTGGGCCATATGAGTAGACGGAGGTGAGTGAGATCATCATGCAGAAAGTAGGGACCTCTTGGGGTTGTTGGGTGGGGCTCTCATGCCCTTGGCCTTCCTTACCTGCCTTCCTTTTCTAGGAATATAAGACATTCTATGACGAATACAATCCACTAGTCCGGCAGGTGGAGTCTTGGATTGAAAAGTTTGCAAACACCTGGTACTACAAAGCCAGGTGGACCCTAAAAGTCACCTGGGTCAATGTTCCTGCCTATCCTGCCCACTGGACCTCCGGGGTGAGTAAACAGAGGGGCAGCTCCCTGTGTGCCCTCTGCAGATCAGCCGTCCTAGAGTCCCAGGCAGGGGACACTCTTTGAAAATTCTCTCTGACTTGAGAGTTTGTTAAGTGCAACCACCACCAATATGCTTAGCACTTGCTACAGCCCACTTACTACAGCCCACTTGCTACAGCCCACACTTACACTGTCTCAGTATTGTTGTTAAGTGCCATCAAGTCAGTTGCGATTCATAGCAACCCTGTAGAGGGTTTCCAAGGAGTGGCTGGGGAGTTTGAACCACCAACTTTGTGGTCCTAACTGATCTTTCAATCCAGTGCTTAATCCCAAAGCACTACCCCAAGAGTCCTATCTCAGTGTAGGAGGTATTATCAGATGAAAACAGGAAATGGAATTTTGTATGTCAAAAATGACTGTCTATTGGCAGTTTTCTGTGGTCCAACCTGATATTACTATCCAGGTTATGATTTTAGAGATGAGAAAGGTGACAGTTAGAGGGGTTAAGCAATTTGCTTAAGGTCACGCAACTAATAAATGACAAAGTCAGGCCTGAAACCAAAGTTCTTCTGACTCCAAATTCTAGCTCTTAACCACAGTGCCACCCAATGGAAGTGGAGCACACCACACAATCTCTTTTGTCTTCCCTCAGGGACTCACAAATCTTGCAGTCACAATATTCTTCCTCCTATCTGGTCCAAAGTCATTCATTTCTTCATTCATCAAAAATGTGTAGATTACTTACTTTATACAAAGCACCAGGGTAGGTCCTGCCTTCAGAGAACCTTCAATCTCACCTGCCACATGCTTACTCTTATATCATTCAGGTGGAGATATCTATCCCCAAGGAAACTAATTAAACCTCTCTGGGCTCTTTAATGTCTTGGCTAACTCTCAGATTCTTGGAGTTTTCTTTCACAAACCGTCTTTTAACTTGATCACAATTCAGAGCCTTTTATCTCTTCTCCTTGGAAATAACTCACAAAGAAGACAAAGCCACCATGTTAGGTTCTTTGACACCCAGGGGAAAAGCTGTCCTGAACTTGTTCTGGGTAGGCTAGGACCAGTGATGTGTGTACTGAGGCAGTGGTGTGGGTGTGTGGTGAGGCATCAGGATGGAAACCCTAGATCTCTCACAGACATCCCTATGTTTGTCTCCAACCAACCCCTAGACCAATACCTACCAGGCCATTCTCTCCACGGATGGGAGCAAGTCTTACGCCTTATTTCTCTATCAAAGTGGTGGCATGCAGTGGGATGCTGCCCAGCGCCCTGGCAACTCAGTCCTCATAGGCTTCTCCAGGTAGGAGGGGGCTTCTCCAGGTAAGGTTACTAGTATGAAGTGAGACAGAGCAGTGTTAAACACACACGTCCATCCTTGAAGAGGAGACATTCTTGCTGGTATGTTTGACTCACACTCACTCTGTTTCCTACTGGAGTCACACACTGTGCTGTTTGAAATTAAAATAAAAACAACCAATTGTTTTTGAGTTGACCCAAATCAACTCTGACCCCATGTGTGTCAGAGTAGAACTGTGGGCTTTTAATAGCTGGTTATTTATTTATTTAGGCAAGTAGGTTGCAAGACCTTTTTCCTAAGGTGCCTCTGAGTGGACTTGGACCTCCAACCTTTAGATTAGCAACCAAGTACATTGTTTGTACCACCCAGGGACTCCTTTTCAAATACAAGATCCCTATTTTCCTTGTCCTTGTCTTTCCTTTCTCAACGAACTACAAACTATATCTTAACTCATATGTATTACTCTGCAATGTCCCCCTTTAGTAATATTAACAAAACAACAGAATTGTGGTCTAGCCCTGCCAGCCCTGTCACCACCCCTGGAACCAATCCTCATGCACTGGAATAATTCTCAACTTGGACTTCCCTAGTTTCCACAGACATTAGTTGATCTCTGTTGACTTCTCAAATATATTTAAAACACCAAGCCACCAACTCAAAGCCATTGTCATCAAGTTATTTCCAAGTCATAGTGACCCTATTGTTGTTGTTGTTAGGTGCCATCAAGTCGGTACAGACCCATAATGACCTTATGCACAGCAGAACAAAACACTGCCCGATCCTGGGCCAACCTCATTACTGTTGCCACACTTGAGTCCAACGATGCTGCCACTTGGCCAATCCATCTCATTGGGAGTCTTCCTCTTCTTCTCTGACCCTCCATCTTATCAAATATGATATCCTTCTCCAGTGACTGGTCCCTCCTGACAATATGTCCAAAGTATGAGAGACGAAGGGAGAGTAGACTTTCCACATAGGGTTTCCAAGACTATAATCTTTACAAGAGCCTACTGCCACGTCTTTCTCTCACGGAGTAGCTGATGGGTTGAGATCGCCAACTTTTCAGTTAGTTTCTGAGCGCTTAACCACTGTGCCACTGTTGTTGTTGTTAAGTACCATCGAGTCAGTTCAGATTCATAGCTACCCTATATAGGGTTTCCGAAGAGCAGTTGGTGAGCTTGAACCACCGACCTTGCAGTTCAAATGGCTTTGCAGTCTGTCACATTAACCCACAGCACCAACTGTGCCACTAGGGTTCCTTAAATATAAATACAACAACAACAACAGCAACAAGAGTTAGGAAGGGAGAAACCAGGAATTTCAATTCAAATATCTGAGTCTTTCAAAATCAGTCTGAGAATTAACCACTCACTCAGGGGCACCCAACAGCTTAGGTGGGTCAGGGAGGATAGGAAAAGTAGAAGGACAGGGCTGTAGAAGGGTGTAATGTGGGTTTCCATGTCTGGAAGTCGTTCAGTATGGAACCCAACTCTTCTCAACTGTAGTGTCTTCAGCTGCTGGCATGTGGCAATAAGTTGTGAAGGGGTCACATGTAATCATTGCTGTGAATGGTTGTCTCCGATATCAGAGTTGCCACTGTAATTACACTGCTTTCACTTGCATTGTGATGTGCTCTGGAAAGAAAGAAATGAAATTATTCATCCAGCTAGGAATTTCACACCATCCTGAGTATTTCCCAAGAAAGGTGTCACCTATTGTACCAGAGGGCAGAAAAGACTGGGGATCAGACTGAGGTTGGAGACTGTCCCTCCAGGTTCTCATCCTTCCTAGAGTGATGGTTTGAATACTGAGGATGGTGATGGTGTGGTAGTGGTGGCAGTTCCCATTTATTGGGTCCTCACTCTGTTCTGAGGGATTTACAAATGTTATTTCATTAATCCTTGTAATACCATGAGGTTAATGCTAGCAGATCCCTTTTACACAGATAAGAAAACTAAGAATCATAGAGGTAAAATAGTTTGCTCATAGTAACCAAGATAGTTTAAGTGCTAGAATCAGGAGTTGAATCTCTGACTGCCTAACTCCAGAGACCAGGTCTTAGCCATCACAACATACTATACTTTACAGAGTCTCCTCCTTAAAACTATTGCCAGGGAGTCAACTTTGACTCAGCAACGCCATGTGTGTCAGAGTGGAACTGTACTTTATCGGGTTTTCAATGCATGTTTTTTCTGAAGTAGATTACCAGGCCTTTCTTTTGAGATTCTTCTCAGTCAGTGGTGGGGAATCTTTTTTCTGCCAAGTGCAATCTGGATGTTTATAACACTATTTACAGGCCATACAAAGTTATCAACTTAAAAATTAGCCTATGTGGCACTGTGGGTTAACATGTGCCACACTGCAAAGCTGTTTGAACTGCAACATTGGCAGTTCAAGCTCACCAGTCGTTCCTCAGAAATCCTATACAGGGTCACTATGGGTCGGAACCTACTCAACGATATTTAACAACAACAATGTGAGATGACTGGAACTTCTGCCTTGGTAAAGCTAGGACAAATGATTTCATCCACAGGCTGGTGTCCCCCACCCCTGCTCTAGATGGACTCAAACCTCAACCTTTAGGTTAGCTGCCAAGCACATTAACCATCTGCAGCACCCATGGACACCTGTCAATCCTTAGTTTAATGAAAACCAATAAAGGAGGCCTGAACTCTTGGTTGTTTTGCATCCCTGTTTAATGACTGAGTGGAACTTTCCATTTCTTGCAATTAACAGCCAGATGTAGAATGAGTTGGAGCCTCCCCTTTCCTATCTCATCCATCTCTTCTCTTGCTTATTACTAGACTCAGTGATTCTGACTGGCTGATCAGCCAACAAACTGACTGAATGATTGATCAGCTGATGACTAGCTAGACTAAGGGACGGAGTGAGGGAGTAAAGGAAGGAAAGTAGGAAGGAAGGAAGGGATTGTTGGCTGGAAGAGAATTTATTCAATGTGAGTGACAGAGACCTGAGATTTTTTTCCTTTGCCTGCAGTGGAGATGGCTATTTCCAAAACAGCCCACTGACATCCCGGCCTGTGTGGGAGAAGTATCGCCCAGACCAATTCCTGAATTTCAACTCAGGTAAAGGCACCACCTTCTCTGATGTGAACTAGTCTGAAGTACTTTTTTGTCTTCCACTCCATATGACATGGCAGGCCTAGAGGGCAATCGCCTAGCATCTTCACCATTTCTAAGAATGGCACCAACACAGTCCAATCTCCCAATGGTAAAACTGGGAGTTGGCAATCACCAGAGAATGGAACTACTTTTAGCACCCTCAGACATAGTACAGTAGGCAAGTCTGCTGCACAAGACCTTTCTAAAGTACTGAGAGCAAAGATGTCAGGCCTAAGGGGCGCCTGACCCAAGCCATGGTATTTTCAATAACCTCATATGTATGCGAAAGCTGGATAGTGAATAAAGAAGACCATAAAAGAATTGATGCTTTTGAGTTGTGATGTTGGAGGAGAATATTGAAAGTGCCATGGGCTGCCAAAAGAACCAGTAGATCCATTATGGAAGAAGTGCAGCTAGAGTGCTCCCTGGAGGCCAAGATGGCCAAACTTTGTCTCTCATATTTCGGACATACTGTTAGGAGGGACCAGTCACTGGAGAAGGATATCATGTTTGGTAAGGTGGAGGGTCAGAGAAAAAGAGGAAGACCCCCAATGAGATGGATTGGCCAAATGGCAGCATTGATGGACTCAAGCATGGCAACAGTAGTGAGATTGGTCCAGGATCGGGCAGTGTTTTGCTCTGCTGTGCATAAGGTCGCTATGAGTCGGTACTGACTCGATGGCACCTAACAACAACAACAGCAATTGCAGGCTACATATTCTGCCTGGATTGAGCCAACCCCAAATGATCTCACCATAAGGGACCATATCCTAGAACTGATGATGGAAATACTTTGGGAGGTGGGATGTGAATGGACAGTTAGGGCAATACAGAATCCTGTCCCAGAGCTGAGATAAGAACCCAGTTGAGATACCTTAAGGAAATCTGCCAAGGAATTCTAAGGAGCCCTGGCATCACAGCAGATTACAAGCTGGGCTGCTAACCACAAGATCAGCAGTTCCAATCTACCAGTCACTCCATGAGAGAAAGATACTCCCATAAAGATTTACAGCTTTGGAAACCCTATACAGGGTCACTATACATCAGAACTGACTCCATGGCATACAACCACTACCACCACCACCACCACCAAGGAGTTCTAGAGGTCTGATACTAATTTGTTTAATAGTAAGTTAGTACATACTGTATGCTGGACACTATGCTAAGAGCCATGGTTATATAAAAAAAGAAAAATGGCCCACCAAGTTTACTAATGACCAAAGACCAGAGAATTGTGGGATAACAACAAGAACATCTTACAGCAAGAAAGCAAAATGCCATTAAGAAGAAAAGAAAGAAGGAAAAGGCCAAAATGGATGTCAGAAGAGACTTGGAAACTTGCTCTCCAACATAGAGATGCAAAAGCAAATGGAAAGAATGAGGAGGTAAAAAAGATGACCAGAAAATTACAAAGGACATCTCGAGGAGACAAAGTCAAGCATTATAATGAAATGTGCAAAGACCTGGAGTTAGAATACCAAAAGGGAAGAACATGCTTGGCATTTCTCAAGTGGAAAGAACTGAAGAAAAAACTCAACTTGCAATATTGAAGGATTCTATGGACAAAATTTTGAATGATGCAGAAAGCATCAAAAGAAAATGGAAGGGAGACACAGAGTCACTGTGCCAAAGAGAAATGGACAATGTTCAACCATTTCAAGAGGAAGCATAAGATCAAGAGCCAATGGTTTTAAAGGAAAAAGTCCAAGATGCACTGAAGGCATTGGCAAAGAACAAAGCTACTCGGTGAACTGATTGGAAGAGATCCATATTTGTGCCCATTCCAAATAGAGGTGACTCAACGAAATGCGGAAATCATCAAATACTACCATCAATATCACATGCAAGTAAGATTTTGCTGAAGATAATTAAAAGGTGGCTACAATAGCACATTGACAGGGAACTGCCAGAAACTGAAGGTGGATTCAGAAGAGGATGTGAAACTAGGGTTATCATTGCTGATGTCAGATGGATCTTGACTGAAAGCAAAGAATACTAAAAAGATGTTTGCCTATGCTTTGTTGGCTGTTCAAGGGTTTCCGACTGTGTAGATTATGACAATCTATGGATAACATTGCAAAGAATGGGTATTCCAGAATACTTAATTGTGTTCATGAAGAGCCTGCACATAGACCAGTTGTTTGGATGGAGCAAGGCATAGGCAGTCATTTGAATGGAACAAGGGAACACTGAATAGTTAAATATCAGGAAAGGTGTGCTCCAGGATTGTATTCTTCTTTTTTTTGGATACTTTTTATTGTCAGTTGAGTGAAGGTTTACAGAACACAACATCATACAGAGCACATTACATTACTGTATTTCACATCAATGATCGCAATCCCCTCCATGTAACAGCAGTTATCCCACTTCCTCCCTACAGTTCTTATATCCATTCCATCCTTTCCAGCCCTTCTCAACTTTGTCCTTTGGTAAATGTTACCCTGTTGATCTTAAATGATGACCATACATTAATAGTGTTGTTGCCACCCCTTTTATAACAATTTAGCTCTTGGTTGAAAACTGGGCTACAAGGGTTAAGTTCCATTCTAGACCTGAAGGGTAGTTGCGGACCGTAGTCTCAGGTTCCTCCAGTCTCTTTCTGACCAGTAAGTCATAATCTTGAAATGTTTTTGTTTGTTTTTGAAACTTTTACTGTGAATTGAGTGAAGGTTTACAGAGCAAATCATCAGTTTTGCATTTAACAAATCATACGCTTCATTTCATCTCAGTGATTGCAATCCCCTCCATGTAACAGCAGTTGTTCTGCTTCCTCCCTGTGGTTGTTGCTGTTTGTTAAGGTTAGTCATGTACAAATATCCTCTTTCAAACTCATGTTTGTGGGATACATATATATTTATATATATATATATAGTGTTGTATTCTTTCACTGTATTTATTCAATCTGTGTACTGAACAAAGAATCCAAGAAGCTGGATTGTATGGAAGAAGAACATGGCATCAAGATTGGAGGAAGGGGAGAACAAATAAGGTGGCAGATTGGGTGGAAGTGCAGTGAGGAGCTCCATCAGCAACAACACAGAATATTAAACCAAGCAGGCTCAGGGGATGGTCCCAGAACTCTGAAACATTTATAAAGAAATATTTAGAAATTTGGAAGGCTTACAGTCATTGGAATTTGTAGCAGAAGCAAGAAATCCAGTGCTTTCTAATCCAAGGCCTTCAGCTGCTTCCTGAACAGCCATCTTGGGTGAGACCAAACTGGGAAAGGATCAGAGCAGCCATGGATGCCAGACAGAACTGCGGAGATAAAGGTGTGGATATTCTTTTTTTCATATCTGTTTATTGGCCTCTCACTGCCTGCGCACCTCCATTCTGGTGACTAGAGGGGCTGTCTGAGCGAGTGGATGCCCCACCCCCACCCCAGAGGGTTCTATTACACATGTGCACAGATCTACTCAAAATTTAAAGGGACAATTTCCACTTAAAACCAAATGGCAGTGCAAAACAGCCACAGCTGGCCCTGAACTGTTTATCACTAGGAAAAAGGCCTGAATGGGGATTGTGGAGCAGGACAGGCAGACTAAAAAGGAAACAGACTGCAAATTACATCCTGAATTACATCATAGCAATCAACAGTGGCACCTTAAAGTTTTTTCAGGAAGAAGAGTGAAAAGGAAAGTCCATCTCCTGATCACATCTACCTGGAGGCAATCAGAAAACATAAAAAGTACCAAAACACACACCCATCTAAGTTTTATGGCAACAGCTAACCACTGAATATGCCCAAATAATAGAAACAGATGACCATATCAGCAAACATCCAGAAGCAAGATAAAGTGACTGAGACAAATGAGCTGGAGGTAGACCTACACACCATACTGGAAGGAGGGCAGGATTTGGAAATGCCTGAGAAGGAATTCCGAAAACAGATTATAAAATGTTTCAAAATACTTTACAATGGAGTTGAGAAAAAAAAGGAAGAATTCAGGAAAGTGCTATAGGAACAATCAAATAAGATAGATACAGCACTGGAAACAAATCAAAACCTACAGAAAGAGATTAATAATAGAATATCAAAATGGACAATACACTGAAAGGGCAAAGGAGTAGAATTGAAGAGATGGAAACCAGAACTAGTGAGCTAGAAGATAAATCTCTCAATACCACTAATATAGAAGAGCAAACAGAAAAAAGGATAAAAAAAATCTGAAGAAGGTCTAAGATTCATGTTGGACAACATGAAGAGGAATAACTTAAGAATTATTGGCATTCCAGAACAAGAAGAA